CGTCCTTGTTTGTGTGTGTGCATGCATGACATGGAATGAATTGTGAGTCTATGCCATTGCTATCTAGTGCTTGTGTGTGTGTTGGAATGGTGTATCACAATGTGGTTTGTGTCGGTCAAGACATTAGCAAGTTTTTACAACTCGCATGTCAAGTCGTCGTTTGCGTGTCGCATGTGTTTTTTCTATTTTGTCGAGTGTGAAGTGTCCATCATGTCGCAGGTGTGTGCAGCAAGCCCCCATCAACTCAAGAAGAATTTATCTTGCAGAACCAAGACCAAGAGCTCAAGATTTCAAGCCCAAGGGATACGGATAAATATGAAATAGTGAAAATAGTAACGCTACTTCGTGTAGTGTTACATTTCACTTGGTGTAGCCCCTTGGAGGGTTGGTTTTTAGACTCTTCATGGTTGGGGACTCTGTGGTGGTGTACCACCAACCTGGACCTCAGCTCTTGGGGTATGTAGAGGCTGGGAACCATCTCCCTCTCGAACTCTTCTTGCTAAGTTTGTACTCCTAAGACTATAGTGGCTACTGTACCTCCTGCCAGCCAAAACCGCCATAGCGTCGTCAAATCTTCATGGAATTTTATGATTCAACTTGCTGCTGATAGGCGACAATAACGCGCTCCAGATCCAATTTACAGATCACCGTTTGAGGAACACATCAGATCGGCATCAATATTTGAAGCTGTCTGACGGAATTCTGACTGTGCACAATTTCTCTCATTTTAGGCACATCTGAGCCTATTGTGCTTATAACAGGGGCGGCTGGACGAAGAGGCCGCGGAGCGGCTGGGCTACGGGGCCACGCGACAGCTACGCGACGGGGCGGCTGGGCTGCAAGGCGGCTGGGCGCTAGGCGACGGGGCCGCGGGGCCAGCGGGGCAGCTAGGCGTGATGTGGCGGGGCAACGGGGCCGCGGGCGGCTAGGCGCTAGGTGATGGGGGCCGACAGGGCCACGGGCGGCTAGGAACTAGGGGAGCAGGGCCGCGGGGGCTAGGTGCTAGGTGACGGGGTCGCGGGGCAACGGGCGGCTAGGCGCTAGGGAACAGGGCCATGGGGCTAGCAAGGCAACGGGGTGGCAGGGCCCGTGGAGCGGCTAGGAGCTAGGCGACGGGGAAGGCTAGGACCTAAGGCGGAAGTGCGGGTGGGCGGGTGGGACCTAACCTACTCATGATACCATCTTAGAGTTAGAACGAATAACTAGAATGAGAGAATACAGGAGTATATAGCTAGTGGGTTGTACTCTCAATGGCAAGACCCTATGTAATCTACTAAACATACACAAATGTGTTTTACATGAACGTCTTCGTTATGCAAACAAGTGGTCTTTCGGCGAGTGTATATATATTCTCAATAAACAGATACGTATATGCTTTGAACAAGGGCTAGGTAAAAAAACACGCATGACCGCATGATGTACCGTTGCCGTCGATGTCCTCTTTTGTAGACAAAACTTGTCTGAACGTCCGATTTTCAGACTGTTTTTTAGGGGTTTGTCTTAAGTGGTCAGACAAGGTTTTGGTTTTGTCTGATTGAGTTAGACAAGTTTAGATTTGTCTGAACTGTATTGACTACAGATTCTGTTTGTTTGAATCAGACCTTTATGGGGGTACTTCTGTGTAGCTGTAGAACCACGTGATGCAATCATACATCCTTCCCTTGTTGGACTTCGCGAACGTTCAAATGGCAACTTCTGACTCATAAGTTGCTGCATGATGAGACACTTAGGCAAAATTGCGGCAAAATTAGCCAATCGTAGCTATCGGCAGTCTGGCACGGCAGCCAGCGCAGAGGTTGCAGCTGTCACAGGATCGAATGAGGTTTGCTCAATGTTGCAGTATCAATCAGTACAAGGTGCTTTTACTGTATACTTCCAGAGTACATTGGGTAACCTGGTTTATCATATCCAAAGGGAATAGACCCTTCTAGAAATAGATTCACAATGTGTATAGCCACACGAGGCTATTGGCTTTAAGGGATTACGGCAGGATTACGCTAGCTATAGCGCGCCAGTACATCCCGAGCCTGGTCGGTAATATAGTTATAATAGTAGGATAAACCAAAGGATTATGGAAATGAAGGAATAGGAAACCAAATGAGATGAGATAAAGACCAAATTAATCAAGATAAAAGAGGAATAAAATAGAAAGGAAAAATGGAAAAGGGAAACTGGTGTAGCGGTGTCGTACTCTCACACTTCCCCGTCTCAAAGCTGGGTGGTAGAAGTAACACCCTGCTTGACAAGGTAGTCGCAAAGAGGACGGCGGGCGTTATCCATGTCGAGTTCAGAGACGCAGCCTCAGAAGGATCAGAACCCGTCCAGCAAAGAAGAAGTTCCTGTTGGTTAGAGAAGGCTATAAGCAGATGATTCAATGGCTCCTTGGAAATTTCTGCAGCACTTCGTTATGACGCCCAGAAAACTCGCGACCTTCGAATAGCTATATCAAAAACTCCAATCGGTGAAACGATCTGAAAATCGGATATGTTGTATCTGGCAGCGTCAGCTTTCCACTGAAAGTTGAATCACTCGATTCCGTAGCTTAACGAGTGAGCTATGGCGTTTGGCGCACTGGGGGGTAATCTGCCCTAGGAGAAGTTGACAGTCCTCAGAGTCACTATAATTGAAGCTTACAAGATCAGAGGCATGATAGAAAAGGCATTGAAGCACAGTTGGAAGGTGGGGTAGGAAGGGAAGGATGAAAGGGAAGGACCCTGGAGGCCCATGGTCAAGAACATGACAAGAGTCAAAGTTTTGACTCCCCATCCTCAGGTTCAGCCAGCCTCGCAAGACAAAATTCACACTGTGCCAGGTTGGCCTCCAAACCCCAAATGCTGCAGCTGCAAAGTGGGGACAAAAGTCCCACACATGCTGGTCCCTCCTCGTTATAGGGCTCTCCAACTTTGGTGTAGCAGCTGACAAGGACTTCCAATGAATTGTAACAAATCCATCAAACATTTCTTCGTAACTTCTTCATATGTGCTCCGATTCCAACAATTCTTGGCTCGTTGGAATGTGCTCGATGTCATGCACAATCCAAGCACATCTGCACAAGCACAAGATGAACATGCAAAGACATGCAAACCCAACAAACCATACAAACAACGTAGCACACAAAAGACATGCAAACGAAATGATGCGAACAGACGACAGGATGACGTGCAAATGAATATGCACCAACACACTCCCCCTCAGACTGTCGGCTTGTTTCGCCGTCTCTAGTTCAAGGACATTCCCGCCATCCTCGCACAGCGCCAGTGTGGCTCTTCAGCTAGCCGCTTGGTAAGGAAGTCGGCTGGCTGTTGCTGAGTTTTCACGTAGATCGGATCCAGTGTCCCAAGCTTCACCTCCTTCCGCAGCCAATGCCACTTGATCCTCATGTGCTTGTTCAACCCATGAAGAACTGCATTGCGTGCCATGGCAATGGCTCCCTTGCTATCACTGAACAGAGGTGTCGCACAAGTCTGTTCATGGCCGATCTCCTTCAAGAGCCTCCTTAGCCAGATGATTTCTTTTGCCGCATGAAACATCGCCATGTACTCAGATTCCACTGAAGATAGTGCCGTCTCAGACTGCTTCTTGGACCTCCAACTTACAGGCCCACCTCCCACCATGCAGATGTATCCACCAACTGATGATGAATCCTCATGCTCAGAAGCCCACGTGGCATCAGCAAAACAGGAAAGGAACACCTTTCCTTCTCCGAGCTGCTCCCCCTTCTCTTTGAGGACTTCAACTCCTTTTTGACTGAGTTGAGCAGAGGCTGAATACTGTACTCCCACTGTAGGGTATGACTTGAGGTAGCGCACCACTCTCTCCGCTGCACCACACTGCTCTTCTGTTGGATTTTGCACTACTCGAGCCAGCTGTCCCACAGCAAAGCTGATGTCAGGCCGAGTATGCACAGCAGCGTAGAGTAGGCTCCCGACCATGGATTGAAATTGCCTCTGGTCTTCACTCTCAACTCCTTCTCCTTCAGCTGCCTTTATGAGTTTGAACTCGGAAGGCAAAGGTGTGACCACTTCCCGTTCTTCCTGCAGAGAGTACTTCTCAGCCAAGGTGTTGATGTACTGTCCCTGATGCAGTTTGAGCCAGCCACGTTCAGTATCCCGCTCAATGTGCATTCCCAGGTAGTACCTTGCCTCTCCAAGTGACTTGCACTTGAACTGCTCTGTGAGCTTCCGCTGCACCCCATCGATCTCCTTGTCACTGCTGCTGAAGAGCAGGATGTCATCCACGTACACCAGCAGAAGCACAAGTGACTCCCCCTCTCCCATCAGGAATAGGCTCTCGTCGCATGCACTCGCACGGAATCCAATCCCTTCCAGTGCACTGGCCAGCCTGTTGTACCAGCATCTCGGGGCCTGCTTCAAGCCATAGATGGCCTTGTTAAGTTTGCAGACACGACCGGTTCCATCCTCATAGCCAGGTGGTTGAACCATGTACACCTCCTCTTCCACAATGCCGTACAGAAAAGCGGTTACGATGTCCATCTGCTTCACCTTCCATTTGCGCACAGCAGCTACCGCCAGCAGCACACGTAGCGTTGGAGACTTAGCAGTTGGGGCAAACACTTCTTTGTAATCTTCCTTCTCTTTCTGCTGAAACCCCTTTGCCACCAGCCTGCTCTAGTAAACTGATGGCTCTCCTTTCTCATCCGTCTTGATTTTTGCCAGCCACTTGCACTGTATTGTCTTCTTCCCATTTGGCAAGTACACCAGATCCCATGTGTGATTCTCCATCTGGCTGTTGTACTCTGCATCTCTTGAAACGAGCCACTTCCCCCGTTGAGGCCCGGCTAGCGCATGATCCATGCTCGGAGGTTGTATTGGTGCGTAAAAGCAGTATGCAGGCTCCTCGTCATCTGACTCTTGGTCATCACCCAAGAACAGCACTGCATCTTCGCCTTGAGCCTGTTCCTGCTGCTCAGTTGTGGCTTCTCCACTTGTGGAGCTCAGCAGCTTTCTCGTTGCCATTCTGGTACGTGCAGGGTAGATGGTTGGATTTACCCATTCTTTCACCTTCACCCAATCCTTTGTCCCCCCACCAATCTGTTTCCTTCGCTTTGGCAGACTTGGTGTTTTGGAAGCCTCTTGCTGCTGCTGCTCCGGATCCTTGACTTCAGCATCAGCTGCAATATCCTCATGGCTTCCTTCATCAGTACCGCTTGCCGTTGGCGCAGTGACTTCGCTGTCCTCAGGTTCGGACAGATCGAAATGCATAGTGATCTCTTCCAGCTGCTGGGTGACCCTTGCCTCCGGCTGCTTCTCCCACTTGCCATACATGATGTTCTCCACAAATTTGACATCCCGACTGTCAAACAGCACATTCTTTGAGGGCTCCCAGAATAGCCACCCCTTGCTCTCTGCCGCAAGCCCAAGGTGCACACACCAAAGTGCAGATGCTCCAAGCTTTGTCCTGTACGGTTTAGGGACATGCGCCACTGCCATGCATCCGAACACTCGAAGCATGTCCACTGGAGGCTTCTTTCCAAGCCACCTCTCCAGCGGCACCCACATATCATCAGCCACCTTTGTGAGTACGCGGTTCCTTGCCACTGTAGCATGCCTCACCGCATGAGGCCACATGGAGTTCCCCAGCCCTGATTCGATCAGCAGCGCTCGCGCAGTTTCCAGGATGGTCCTATTAGCCCTCTCAGCAACGCCATTTGACTGAGGGGTATAGGACGTCGTTAGCTGATGCTCAATGCCTTGTTTCTTGAGCCACGCAGTCAGATCTCCTCCTAGAAACTCTCCACCTCGGTCGGTTCTGATGCTCTTGCATGGGTGCCCAGATTGTCGCTCGACGAACGGCAGCCAATCATCTCGTATTGTTGAGGCAGCATGATCCTTCTGCTTCAACGGGTATGCCCACATCAGCCGACTCCAGTCATCAACTATTGTCAGGAAGTACCTTTCCCCCTTACTTCCTCGGACTGGAAAAGGTCCTACGAGGTCCATGTGCACCAGTTCCAGTGCTGCCTTGCTTTTCCCAGCTACGCCGTGAAAGGGGAACCGTGTGAACTTGCTCAGCAGACACGTCTCGCACTTGGTATCATTTGGTTGCCCAGAAAGCTTGAGCCCCTTTACTGCTTCTTCCTTATGCAGTTGCTGCAGCAATGGCATAGCCACATGCCCTAGACGCCTGTGTGCGGATTCCCAATCAGTCTCCCCCGACCTTGCAGAAACCGTCACTCCTGCAGCACTAACTGCATTACACTCCCCCTGGACTCCAGATCCCACCTTTACTTCTCCCAACTCCTTCTTTGTTGATTCCCATATCAGTGCAGGGATCTGCCACATGGATCTGAAGACATCTCTGCTTTCGTGTAAATCCCATAACACACGATCTCCTCGCAGCCCCTTGAATGTTTTGGATCCATTAGTGGTGGTGCTGACTCCGGCCTGGCCTAGCTTGCGCAGCGATATCAGATTGGCCTTCAGCCCCGGTACGAGTAACACGTCCTTCAGCACAACCAGTCCACCATCAGGTGCTCTGAATGCAGCTCGACCAACTCCAGCGACCTTCACTGCATGTCCGGATGCTGAGCGCACTTCAGAGATAGGAGGCGCTCGCACAGCATCCAGCAAGTCCTTGCGTGGTGTCATTGTCCATGCAGCACCAGAGTCCATGACCCACATGTCAAGCGGGTGCAATTCCTCTCCAGCCCTTGCAACAGCTATGCCACTGTCATCTTTGTCACACACATGGTAGAACTGTCCAGCATTCCTCTCCTCATTTCCCATTCCTCTGTCATCCTTGGAGGTTTCTTCAGCAGGATCAGCTACCATGTTGGCACCTCCATGTGGTTGCTTTCCTCCATTCCCGTTCTGCGATTGGTTCCAAGGGGTCCACCAGTCGGGCTTGGTAGGGCAGCGAAACCATGGATGCCCTTCATCCTTGCAATACCAGCACTCTCCCCTCAAGCGTGGTTCACTGTTGTCATTGTTGGAGTGACCACCTCTTCCTCTTGCACCAGCGCCACCACGCCCCCGCTGGTTCCAAGTCCCGCGACCACCTTGGCTGTGGTAAGAGCGACCGCGATTGCCACGCCCTCGATCCCTTCATGTCCCTTGCATGGCATAGCCGCTGGTGCTGTCATCACCTCCGCACAGTGTATAGCGACGAAAATCTTCTTCCAGAATCTTGGTGCGAATCCACTCCAATGTGTTAGAAACAGAAAGGTTCAGTTTATTGATGAGGCAAAGGCATTACATAGGAAGAGAGAGATGAGCTAGGAAGGGAAGGTTGGAAGGGAAGGGGGGGTTAGGACCAATCACAAGGGAGGGAGGATCCTTCCATATGTGGTTGACCACCAGTTGGAGGTGGTCCAAGTGTGGTGTACCACCAGTGGTTTAGCCAACCCACTTGTGGTGCCCCCACAATTGTGGTCCTTGTGTTTGGGGGCTCCAACCACAATTGGGCTGGATTGACAACCCAACACAGGTGTACACCCAACTAGGGATGTAAACACAATATACACAACTAGCATAGCATGGTATATTCTAACACAACCCCATAGCATGCAAAGCTAGTGTATATGTAGGGTACAACCCCAGAATCAGGAAGGGGGGCGGGGCCCAAGGCCGAGAAGGCGGAGGAGGGCAGAGTGCGCGGTCTTCGGGAGGGCCTTGGTGAAGATGTCGGCCAAGTTGGCCTCTGCAGCGATCTTGCGGACCACCAAGTGACCTTGCTGGACCAACTCTCGAACGAAGAAGTAGCGGAGTTCAATGTGCTTGGAGCGGCCATGGAAGACAGGGTCCTTTGTGAGATGGATGGTGCTGGCGTTGTCGCACCAGAGGGTGGGACAGCGCTGAGGAGCACCGATCTCAGCAAGGAGGAAGGTGAGCCAGCGAGCCTCCTGAGCGGCCATGGTGCAAGCATAGAGCTCAGCCTCGCAGGATGAGAGGGCGATGGAGGAGGAGCGAGTGGAGCGCCAGCTGATGAGGCCGCTGCCAAGGGTGAAGCCGTAGCCTTGAGAGGAACGGCGATCCGGCTGGGAGTCAGCCCAGGAGGAGTCACTGAAGCCAGAGAGGAGGGGAGGAGAAGAGCCTCCGAGGGTGAGGACATAGACCTTGGTACCACGGAGGTAGCGGAGGACCCACTTCGCTGCAGCCCAGTGCTCATCAGTGTGGCGACCGGTACCGACGAATCGAGCAAGAACACTGATGGGGTAGGCAAGGTCGGGGCGGGTGCACATCATAGCGTAAATCAGCGAGCCGACGAGCTCAGCGTAAGGATGGTCAGAGGAGGAGGGAGCAGGAGGAGGGGCAAGCTGGTGGTCGGTCTGCAGGGGAGTGGTAACCGGCTTGGCCTGCGCCATGTCGAACCGCTGCAAGACTTGGTCGATGTAGAAGGACTGAGAGAGGGTAATGGTGCGCGATGAGCGGTCCCGGGTGATGGTCATGCCCAGATAGTGCTTGAGCTCACCCAGGTCCTTGCACTTGAGGCGCGCATGCAGGGCGTCCTTCACTTGCTGCATGGCGGCAGCATCGTCAGCGAACAGGATCATGTCGTCGACATACACCAGGATGAAGAAGCGGGTGGGAGAGGAGCGAAGGAAAAGGCTGGCATCAGACTGAGAGGCATGGAACCCCAAGGACTGCAGAGTGGCGGCCAGCTTGTTGTGCCACTCGCGAGGAGCCTGCTTGAGGCCATAAACCGGGCGGCGCAGCTCCCAGACTGTGTTGGCAGGGAAGGCTGCATGAAAGCCTGGAGGCCGCCGCAAGAGGACCCGCTCCTGGAGCTCGCCTTGCAGGAAGGCGTTGGAGACATCCATGGAGGCAATCTCTATGCCAATGCGAACAGCATAGTCGAGGATGGCACGCAGAGTTGGGAGCTTGGCAGTGGGAGAGAATGTCTCCCAGTAGTCGATGCCATGGGTTTGGGTGAAGCCCTTGGCACAATACCGGGCCTTGTAGACCGGCTCCTCACCCGGCAGCTGCTTCACTCGGAACACCCACAGGCCTTCAACAATGACGTCGTCAGGAGAGGGGACAATGTTAACGAATGAGGCATTGCGGATGAAGGCCTCGCATTCAGCAAAGATAGCCTGGATCCACTTGTCAGCATCGGGGCAGGTGATGGCCTCAAGGAAGTTGGACGGAGTGAATCTGGTGGGAGCGGTAGCGATGCCAAGGATGAGGAGGCCAAGGAAGCCCGGGTAGAGAGGCGTGAGGGAAGGTGTTTGTTGCTGAACGCCAATGAGCTCCTCATGGGAGTCCTCAATGAAGGGAAGGGAGGGTGGGGGTGGTGTTGGCCAACCCCATGGATGGCCTATGAGTGGGCCGTGAGAGCGAGTGTGGATGCGTGGGAGGATGAACGGAGAGGTGGTGCGGCGATGCCGATGAGGTTGCTGCAGTGGCTGCTGCTGCTGCTGCTGCTGCTACTGCTGCTGCTGCTGCTGCTGTGGCTGCTGCTGGTGCTGCTGCTGCACCTCCTGCTGCGGCTGCTGTTGCTGCACTGCCTGCGGTTGCTGCTGCTGCTGCTGCTGCTGCTCCATCCGCTGCTGCACCTCCTGCTGCTGCTGCTGCTGCTGCTGCTGCTGCTGCTGCTGCTGCTGCTGCTGCTGCTGCTGCTCCATCCGCTGCTGCTGCTGCACCTGCTGCTGCTGCTGTTGCTGCTGCTGCTGCTGCTCCTTCTGCTGCTGCTGCTGCTGCTGCTGCTGCTGCTGCTGGTGCTGGTGCGATGAGGCAGAGTGAGCAGGGGAGTCAGGGACAGCTGGGTCGTAAATGTCACCTGAGGAAGGAGGAGGGGGAGGAGCAGGATTTGGAGGAAGGAGGGGAGCCTGGGGAAGGAGTGGGGGAATGACAGCATCAGCCCAGGTGAGGGGGCGGGAGAGACGAAGAAGGGGGTCGGAAGGCGGAACAGAATGATAGAACGGGATGCTCTCATCGAACACCACGTCACGGCTCTGTAGGAGGCGGCCTGAGGACGGGTGAAGGAAGAGGTAACCAGGGGCAGAGCGAGCGTGGCCAAGGTAGACACACTCAATGGCCTTGGAGGCGAGCTTTCCTGCCTGCCGAGAGCGGTCAGGTGGGGGGATGAGGACATATGCCTTGCAACCCCAGATACGGAGAATGGCAGCATCTGGCTTGGTGCTAGCCCAGAGCTCAGTGGGAGTGACAGACTGGCGTTGAGGATGTGGGTAAAGATTAGTAAGGAGAGCAGCATGGACAAGGGCATATCCCCAAAGAGAAGGGGGCGTGGAGGCATGAGTGAGGAGGCAGCGGGCCGTCTTGGTGATCTCACGAATGCGACTCTCAGCAACACCGTTCTGCTGAGGGGAGTGGGGAAGGGTATGAGTCTGCTGGATGCCATGGGTTGAGCAGTAGGAGGAGAGGGTGCGGTTGAGAAACTCACCACCGCCGTCGGAATGGAGGCGGCGGATGGGGCGACCAAAGTGGACTCGGCACTGCTCGGCCCAGGTAACGATGACAGCAGGGGCCTCGGCCTTCGTGTGGAGGAGGAACACCGAGGAGTACCTGCTGTGGTCGTCGACTAGGACAAGCATGTACCGGTGCCCTTGGCGGGAAGGGGAAGGGTTAGGGCCCCAGAGGTCCATGTGGACGAGGTCAAGGGGGGCAGCAGCAAAGGAAGGATGACTGAGGTGAGGCTGTTGTTTGAGCTTTCCATGAATGCATGTGGCGCATGGGGGAGCGGAAGAGGACGGGAGGGGAGGAAGAGTGGGGGGAAGACCGTCAAGCAAGCGGGAGGAGACGGCTTTACGAAGTGTGGGAAAGTTCATATGACCAAGGCGGTGGTGGATGAGAACAGCGGGGTGGGACAGTGCGCGACAAGAGCATGGGGAGGAGGTGGAGTTGGAGGAAGGTGGCTCTAGAGGGAGGGGAGGGGGGAGAGTGGAGGTGCCTGCACGAGTGGTCACGTGGCATGAGGAGGGGCGGGGTGTGCGGAGGATGTACTGACGAGAGCGAGGGCAAAGTGGGAGGCGATGAAGGAGGCGGCGAGTGGGGCCGTGGAGGAGGTCACAGTAGGTGGCAGAGGCGGGGAAGAGGGTAGTGATGCCAGCCTGTTGGAGTTCACGAATGGAGAGCAGGTTATGACGAAGGGAGGGAATGTGGAGACCAGTGACCACTCCAGAGGGGAAGGGGGGGCAGGGGAGGGTGGAGAGATGAGTGCAAGGGATGGAGAAGCTGGAATCAGCACCATGAACGTTGGTGGGGAAAGGGAGGGAGGTGAGGGTGCCGGCGTCTTTGAGGGCAGTTTCAGTGGCACCACTATCGAGAACAAAGTCAATCGTGAGCGAGGAGGGAGCTGAAGACACGGGGAAAGCCAGGAGGACCTGGTGTGGCTGTGGCAGCCATGGCGGCGGTGCCAAAGCCAAGCTGCTGCTGCTGCCATGCAGATGCTGCGGCTGCGGCTCCTGCAGCTGCGGCTGCAGCCTGACCACCAGAGCCCCATTGCTGCTGCTGCTGCAGCAGCTGCAGCTGCTGGAAGCGGCGAAACTGCTGTAGCTCCTGGAGAGTTATGGGGTCAGCGACAGAGGAGGAGGAGGAGGAGAGCTGAAGATGAGAGGGGAGGAAAGACGGAAGAGTTTTGACATCCTGGAGAGAGGGGCGGGGATCCATGGCAGACCAGCGTGGGGGTGTGCCAGTGTTGCCGCGCTCGAACCAGGCGTCATCATACGCCTTGAAGCAGGTCGCGGGGGGATGGTTGGTTTGGGTGCAGCACTCACCTGCCCTGGGACCAAAACGGCGAAGATAGGAACATGGGGGGAGAGTGCCAGGCCGGCCACCATGGCTACCAGATGAGCCACCACTGCCTCCACCACCACCACTGCTGCCACCCTCGACCCCGCCACCACCGCCGCCGGCTCCGCTGCCCCCACAACCGCCACCTCCACCCCCTCCCTGAGGGTTGGTGCGGCCGCCACGTGGGCGCCCGCCACGACGCGGCTGTGTGACTGCAAGCTGGGGGTTTTGGGACTCGGTGGAGTTCAGGACGGAGGGGGGAGTTGAGAGGAGGCGGGCCTCAGCGTCAATAATCCATTGGACCACAGTATCAAGGGAGGCGCGGGGCTGAGCCTCAGTGAAGGCGATGACGCGCACTTCATATTGAGGGGAGAGGCCTTCGAGGAGACGGTAGATCTGAAGGTTGGGGGGGAGAGTAGTCTGGCGAGCCTCAAGGCGGGAGGCAAGGTCCAGGAGACGGCTGGTGTAGTCAACGGCGCCAGCACTATGTTTCGATCGTGATGCTGAAGTATTCCTTGAAGAGCGGTCCGACAGCATCGAAGTCGGTGCGTTCGAACATTGCCTCAAGCTCGAGCCAGATCTGGCGGGAGCCGATGCGACGTACCTGGAAGTTGCGCATGAGCGCAGGCGGGATGGCAAGGAGAAGGGCACCAGTAGCACGGCTGTCCGCCTCGAGCCAGGCGCGACGACGCTCAGCAAATCGCGCAGAGTCAGCGGCATAAGCGGCGGCGGTGGCGGCATGCTGGGTGCGGAGGGTTGCCGACCGCTCGTGTTCCTCCAACGCGATCAGGTAATCAGTATGGAGCACGAGGAACTCACGACGCTGAGTAAGGAAGAGCTGCTCAACTTCAGCGGTGGCAGCGCGAGTGCTGGTGCCAACGGGTACCATGGGGGGCGGAGGTTCCTCGCCGGGATGGGGAATGAGAGGGGGGGGATCGCCAGGATGAGGCGGCGGGTCCCCAAGGTCACCCTCTGGGAGACCAAACATGATGTCCAGGAGGCGGAACGGCAGGACATAAGCACTGCCGAGGACGCGGTGGAGGCTGCCGACAAAGGAATACCAGTTGGTTGCTGAGTTGTCGGCAGCGCGCACGAGATGATCGAGGGTCGAGACGTCGACGGGAGGGGGAAAGGATGCCATTGGTGACACGGAGTGGGAGGAAGGCGACGGCGGGTAGACCCGCGGTGGCCGGGAGGGAGCGGCGGCGGGTGGACCTGCGGCGGCTCAAAGTGGAGGGGAGGATGGGGATGGCTGTAGATACTGCTGCTGCTGCTGCTGCTGCTGCTGCTGCTGCTCCTTCTGCTGCTGCTGCTGCTGCTGTTGCTGTTGCTGCTGCTGCCGCTGCTGCTGCTGCTGCCGCTGCTGCTGCTGCTGCTGCTGCTGCTGCTCCTTCAGCTGCTGCTGCTGCTGCTGCTGAGTCAGCTGCTCCTTCTGGTGCTGCTGCTGCTTCTGCTGCTGCTGCTACGGCTGCAGCAGTGGTAAGGCGGCAATAAGCAGGTGCAGGTGAGGAGGCAAAAGATGGGGAAAGATGGCAGTTAGCTGATGAAAATAGGACTTGGTAGAAATTTCAGTAGCACTTCGTGATCACATCCAGGAAAGTGTGCAAACTTCGGAAAGCGATATCTGACAATCCAAGCGATGAAACAGTCCGAAATTTTACGACGTCGTATCTGACACCAAGAGCGTTCTTTTGCAAGTCGAATCACTCAATTCTGTCAACTATCGAGCGAGCTATGGCGTTTGGCGCATTGGGGGTTTTTGAAAATCCACCCAACAGAAAACTAGTTGAGAGGCGGCGGCTAGGAGTCTAGCAGCGGCGATGGAGGGGACGGCAATGAGGTGCACGTCGGAAGGGGACGGGGCGGAAGCGTGGGGAAGGATCGGGATTTAAAAGTTGGCGTGAGCCATTATTGCTCTAAACCATGTTAGAAACAGAAAGGTTCAGTTTATTGATGAAGCAAAGGCATTACATAGGAAGAGAGAGATGAGCTAGGAAGGGAAGGTTGGAAGGGAAGGGGGGGTTAGGACCAATCACAAGGGAGGGAGGATCCTTCCAAATGTGGTTGACCACCAGTTGGAGGTGGTCCAAGTGTGGTGTACCACCAGTGGTTTAGCCAACCCACTTGTGGTGCCCCCACAATTGTGGTCCTTGTGTTTGGGGGCTCCAACCACAATTGGGCTGGATTGACACCCCAACACAGGTGTACACCCAACTAGGGATGTAAACACAATATACACAACTAGCATAGCATGGTATATTCTAACACAATGTCCATTGACTTTGGTTTTGTGGCAAGCTGAGTCCGCTTATAAATTGCAGCCAAGACTCCGGCAGCAGGCTGAGCATCTTGAGACACTTTGTCTGCTCTGGGTACGTGATGCCAGCAATCGCCAATTTCGCGTAGAGTTCCCTCATCTTGTCCAGTACGGGCTGCACAGGTTCATTCTCGCTCAACCGCAGCATGGACAGCTCCCGATCCAGCATAAGAGAAGCGGCAACCGATGTCGGAGCGTGCAGGTCCTTGAGCACTGCCCATGCCTTGGGCCCACAATCAATTTCCGGTAGCAGATGCATGATGTGATGCCTCTGGTTCAGCTCCAAGCTTTGTGACAGTAGATAATACCCAGCAGATGAACGTTCATCCCAGTCCGCTTGCTCTGCCATTTCCTTTGGCCTTGGCTCCGTTCCAATCATGAGCTTCAAGAGGCCAATTTGTCGAAAGTAGAGCTGCATCTTCCATGCCCAATCATCATAGCCATCTCCAGAGAACTTCTCAATGGTGAAGTTCTTCAGCACCTCCTTAAGCAGTGACCCCTGGCTTGTACGCGCTCCCCTTTGCGCTGCAATGCCAGAATCTTGGGTTGAACTGCCTCATTGGACTGAAGTATCACCTCCACCAGAGTCCTCTTTATCTCCCATCATATTTTAGGTCCCAAATGCGTGATAATAGGCTCCGATACCACTTGTTGGTTAGAGAAGGCTATAATCAGATGATTCAATGGCTCCTTGGAAATTTCTGCAGCACTTCGTTATGACGCCCAGAAAACTCGCGACCTTCGAATAGCTATATCAAAAACTCCAATCGGTGAAACGATCTGAAAATCGGATATGTTGTATCTGGCAGCGTCAGCTTTCCACTGAAAGTTGAATCACTCGATTCCGTAGCTTAACGAGTGAGCTATGGCGTTTGGCGCACTGGGGGGTAATCTGCCCTAGGAGAAGTTGACAGTCCTCAGAGTCACTATAATTGAAGCTTACAAGATCAGAGGCATGATAGAAAAGGCATTGAAGCACAGTTGGAAGGTGGGGTAGGAAGGGAAGGATGAAAGGGAAGGACCCTGGAGGCCCATGGTCAAGAACATGACAAGAGTCAAAGTTTTGACTCCCCATCCTCAGGTTCAGCCAGCCTCGCAAGACAAAATTCACACTGTGCCAGGTTGGCCTCCAAACCCCAAATGCTGCAGCTGCAAGGTGGGGACAAAAGTCCCACACATGCTGGTCCCTCCTTGTTATAGGGCTCTCCAACTTCGATGTAGCAGCTGACAAGGACTTCCAATGAATTGTAACAAATCCATCAAACATTTCTTCGTAACTTCTTCATATGTGCTCCGATTCCAACAATTCTTGGCTCGTTGGAATGTGCTCGATGTCATGCACAATCCAAGCACATCTGCACAAGCACAAGATGAACATGCAAAGACATGCAAACCCAACAAACCATACAAACAACGTAGCACACAAAACACATGCAAACGAAATGATGCGAACAGACGACAGGATGACGTGCAAATGAATATGCACCAACAGTTCCAGAGTGCCATTCTGATGACGATAGTGTCCGAGCACGTAGTTGTCCCATTTCTTGGACGAACAAGGGCGGCGACGGTGGTTGGCATTCGGTGTAGAGCGTGTTTGGCCTTGATAGGGTTTGAGATGCTGGTATGGAAGGCGTTATGGATCTTTCAAGTGGCTGGTTGGCGGAAGCGGAAGTTGACTGAAGTGACCTTTGCCTCAACGATGATAGACTCGCAGAAGCAAGGTTGAAGCTTGGATGGAGGATGGCTGATGTGAAGATTACAGTCAGGATAACGGTAGTGATGAGTGGCAAAGTGCTTGTGCTGTTGTTGGATGTTCAAGAGGCGCTTGTGTGGTCGATCTACAAGATGGTGGACGATGGCGATGAAATTGGAAGCAAGTTGGACTGTAGCAAGAACTGTCTATTGCTACGGAGTGAGTAGGCTCCGTCCACAGCAAGGAAGGATGGTGTGTATCACCGTCAATGATGTATGGGCAGGTGCAAGTTATAGTTGGAGATGTGAATGGTTGGAACAGTGTGCTGTAACTTGCAGATGAATGGCTATGTTGTCTGTTCTGTACATGCCTGAAGATCACTTGCATCTCGTCTTCGCCTCAAGATCACCAAGTGTTGTTGGTATGGCAGTCGTGTCGTAGTACTGCTTCTGTAGGAGTGTTGTATCCGTTACATGCAGCTTCTGTCGAAAGCTGGTCCATGCCTTTGTGTTGTCGCGAGTCGTACCCTCTCGGTATCGTAGTGCTGCGGAATGGAGAGCAGAATCAATAGTAGTAACCTTGTCCACCACGCGGCCTGCTAGTCACACTGCCTTGAATACGACAGCGCATGTGAAGTGCTGCCCAGCGTATCCCTTGTGTTCAGAATCATGCGAGGGGCTAGTACCATAACGGGAAGCTGGTGAATTCCAGAAACGGCGCATAAGTATTCCCTCGATGGTTGCTCAAGCAAGGAATCTCAGCTGCGTAGATACTGTATCCCACGGTGATGGGTTAGGACATCTGGGAACGTTAGGGCTATTCCCAAATAATCCTCTCCCATTTCCAAATGGGCATTGCTAACAGCCAATCCAGTATGACCTTATGCACTTCCAGTTTAGCACGGAGGCCATCGGTAGGCATCGGTGTCTGGGTGTACATTTTGAGATAGATCTTCTGGTTCCATCATGTGTTGTCTCATTCTGTTACTGTCCTTGAAGTAGCGTTGATGTCGAAGAATTCTCAGCTACTCAGCATCGGTGTTGTAGTCTGCTCCATTTCGGCAAACAGAGGTGTTATTGGAGATACGCGGAGTCCACTATCCGGAGTGGCGTCGACGCTCCATACCACGTCTATCTGCTTCCATGGAGTTGGTGCTGGTGATGGATTAGTTGTGACGCAGGTTTTATGACTTTAAGGAAAGCCATAGTCCATGAGGACTTGTATACCGGTAGAGTACCGTTGTCCTCCCATCCTCATAAGAGCAAATATCTTTTGCACTTGAGGGTATATGACATTGCCATGTTGTTCCATCGCATAGTGGTATCCATTTCCCACTAGCTGGAAATCATAGTACTGTGCCTGGCCGGGACTTTACGATTTACTGGAATATGTTCTAGCATTATCTCCATTGAGCGGAGAATCATCCATCAGGGTTTGGATATGACTGTTGTGTCGAGTCTTCTGCTGCGGCGGCGGCGGCGGGTGCGATGATGGCGACGGTGGCAGCTGCTGCAGAAAATTCTTTAACTCATAATGGTTGAAGGAGAATCCATCAACTCCCTCATCCCAGTAGAGTTTTCCTGATGGGTGTAGGTGTAACTACCAGGAACACGTGCATTTTGGTACACATGTGTTGCTCCATTGTTGCCGGTGATGGTTTCATTTGAGGGTATGAAGAGAATTTTGCTTCTCCCCTTAATGTATCCACAGGTAGCAATTCCTTGTATGCTCATCCGTGCCTCCAATGTACGGCCGGTAGAGCGCGTGATCGTGTTGTAGTAGTCTGCATCTCCCTCATGTGTTGACACCTCGTGTTGCTTAGCATTCTCCTGTATTGTCGAAGTTACGCTGATACTTGTAACGCTTCGGCTTCTGGTAGAATCGCCTCCAATGCATGTGCCGCAGGGTCGCTGTTGAACGAATACTTGCCGGATTCGAGGTTAATTACTCCTCAATCTGTCAAGCATCGTGACATGCAAGGAATTTTTTCCACGCAGGTCATTAACACCTGGAATCGCGACGCATGATTGGTGTGTCGCCTCGTGAGGTCGATGTTTTGACACTGCTCCAATCAATCACTTCGGATGGCTGAGATTCTTGATGAAGACAAATCGATCAGCTCCTGTTACGAATTAGTGTCTTGCTGGCCTTGACGAGACAAGTTCACTGCATCATCGTTGCGTGCGAAATCTCCTCCTTCGCAGCAACTTGATGTTGGGAATATTGCAAGAGAAAACGGCTACTTCTTTGCAATCCCATAGGTTGTCGATCAAATTTATAAGATGAAGTGTCTCATGGATTGAGAACATGTCTTCACGCAGCTTCATTGTTATTCGTGGGTGAAGATCCGCTGTGTTGACGTCGATCCATTTTTAACGACGATGACTTCGTCAAAATAATGTAATCCATGATGATGTTTTTCCATAGTGTAATCTTTGCTGCATTCGTGCCGTTGATTCCGCATTGATCCGACGATCCACGTTCTCCTGTCAGTTTTCTGCTTGCAGCTATTACCAAGTAGGTAATTCTTTGGCAGATTTCTGACTCTGCAGATTATTTGCGCATCTAAGTCGTGACCAAATGGAGGAATCCGAATTTGGTTGTTAAGATGAAATATACGGTGTCGAAGGCGGCTGATTCTTGGTTCTGCGCATCATTCTCCCTTTGTGCAGTAGTCGCGCTCCACCTCGTCCGTTAAAGAAGAAGTCGATCCGATGGTCCAAACTCCAAGCGATCTGAAGATATTCCAGAGTCGCGTTCAGTAGCTTTCGGCGCCCGGGTACACTCGTTTTCTACAGCAATTCTTGGTCGTCGATGTCGGCTGTCGTATGATCGGACGCTCCGAAGAATTTCGCGGCTTGCGAGGTCCCGTTCTCATAAGCGTTGAAACTCAAACTCGCTCAGAAGGATTTCGTTTTCGCCTCGGTCGATCTGAAGCGTCGAATCTCCATCAGACGGATGTCGTCGGTCGCAGCTCCGCAAATTTCGGCGCAACTCCAAGTGTCGTGGCGAACAGCGAACTTCTCGGAATGTCGCAAGGAGTGTTCCGCTAGAAGTGACGCATTCGCGAGGTCGAGGCCGTTTGCCCCCGCGAAAAAATCGGCTCCGTCGATGCAGTCCATAGAACGGTCGGCGAGGCATCTCGCATTCGAAGGAGACCCCAGGTGCAACTACGCGAGGTTAGTCAAAACTTAATATGAAAGAGCATTGTACTTACAGGAATTGAAGTTTCGACTCTATCCTCGGCGTGCTTTTGGGGGCCCAGTGGTTAAGCGTTGAGCTAAAACCTTGGCTCTGATCACCAAGTGTAACAGGATTGAATGAGGTTTGTTCAATGTTGTATTATCAATTGCTACAAGGCGCTTTTATACTTCCAGAGTACATAAGGTAACCAAGTTTCTCTTATCCAAAGGGAATTGACCCTTCTAGAAATAGAATCTCTATGGGTATAGCCACGCGAGGCTATTGAATTTAAGGGATTATGGCAGGATTACGCTAGATATAGCGCGCCAGTACATCCCGAGCCTGGTCGGTAATAACAGGATAAACCAAAGGATTATGGAAAACGAGGAATACAAAACCAAATGAGATGAGATAAAAACCAAATGAATCAGAATGAAAAGAGGAATGAAATAGAAAGGAAATATGGAAAGGGGAAACTGTTGTAACGGTGTCGTACTCTCACAGCAGTAGTATTTGCCTTGCAACCACATGCGGGGAATCTATGGTGGCATGACAGTTGTAGATTCCCACGTAGTTGGTGTCCTGTACCTTGGCTGTGCAGCCAGAAAAACATCCCCCCCGACCCTAGTGATGCATTGCGTCCTTTGCAGCCTTCTCTTGCACCTTCTATTTCCATATTTATCAACTCAGTGAGTGTAGTTTCTGCTCCTTCTGCTCCACGGTTATTTCCCGACTCTGGTTCATGCTTTCGTCAAGCCCTGCATGGCTGGCGAGGAGGCGGAGGTAGAGGGTGATGGTCAGCACGACGACTCCAGCCCGTCCCAACTTACAGGCTTAGACTACCTAATGAGGTCGCTAGGTTTTGGTGGTAGAGCCGCTCCGTCGCCCGCCTTATAATTAGAACAGTCAAGTGCTCCCGCCGCTCCGTCTCATGCCGATCCTCAACCAGTGCCCGAGCCCGAGTCCGCCGCGCCGGATATCAGTGGCCCTCGCCACTCCCATCCCCTCCTCAGTCGCCGGTGCATGCCGCCTCGCTGTCGAGCCGGCAAGAGCCGAGAGGCTCGATACCCTCCCTTTCGCGAAAGGCACCCTGCCATCCGCCCCCAGGGTATCTGTCCACTAGGAACGAGCCACACCTAGTCCCTCTTCAGCCGTGGACCCAGAAGATGACGCTGAGGTCGAGGGTGCCGGCAATGAAGACGAACCAGATCCGGCTGCCGACACTTCAGTGCGTAAGGAGCTGAAGCACAAGTACGAGACGGAATGGGTGAAGGAATTCCCCTGGCTCGAGCTGACAGAGACGGACAAGGGATGGCCATCTATCAAATGCAGCATCTGCACTGCTCATTGCACGGAGGATTGCGTGTACGGCTGAGGCGGGCAGGGGGGTGTCGATATTCAGGTCCAGACCATGCAGACGCTCCAGCGCACGAAGATGCACCAGGCTGCCATATGCAAGAAGGAGGCGAAGGACCGGGATACCACCTCGCAGAAGTGCATCGAGGACTTCAGCAAGGGAGACCTAGAAGGAAAAGGGTAATTCGTTTGCTTATGGCTCTGCATTTCATCTGTCGCACCGACACACCGATTCTATTGTACATCGCCCTTGTCAATTTCATGACATCACAAGGAACACCCGACCTACCCGAGAGTAGCTACGGCACCTAATACACCGAGTAAGTGTCGTGCATTTGTTTCATGCTCAATACTTATCATCCTGGCACTAACAATTACATGGGGAACTTTGCAGGTACGGCTTCCGCCAGTTGTCGGGGTCAATGGCGACTTACCTCAAGAAGAAGCAGATGGATTACATCCAAGCTAGCCCTTTTATCGGCATCAATGCCGATGAAAGCACGGATTGACGGCGTGGCAAGCACCTCATAGTTTATTTAACATTTGTGAAAAAGGGCAAGGTCGTTACTGAATTATTTGCGTTACTAACGATGACTTAGTGTGATGCCGCTTCTCTGCTAGCTGTTTTACAAATGCATCTCGAAACAGCAGGCATTGATCTCCAGAAGATTTCTAGGATTTCCACAGATGGAGCCAACGTCATGACAGGTGGACGTGCTGGCCTTGTCACTCGCCTTTGAGCTATTGTGCCTCATCTTGTCTCGTGGCACTGCATCGCCCACCGGTAAGCATCAGTTTTCACTTGTTTCAATCTTGCTTGTTCTTATCCACCAGTAAATTGACATTTTTGCCGATCGTCTTTCATTTCCAGGGAGGCACTTGCGGCAAAAGACGCGGCCTCGAAGTACAAAGACTTTGAATTCATCGACGAGATCATACGCATGCTCGCCGAGATCCTCGGACGCTCCTCCGTATGGCATGCCCGTTTCCGAGAGCTTCAAGAGGTGCTGCTGAAGACGTTCTCGGAGCTGCAGTCGGTCTTCGCCATTCATTTGGTGTCTCGATCAGAGGCCATCGAACGGCTCGTCGTTGTCCTGCCAGCTGCAATCCTCCTGCTATACGAGTACGACTTCACAACGTACGAGGTGGCATGTGGATACAAGTTCCACTTCTGCTTCTTCTTCCTCGCGGACCTGCCGAAGGAGTTAAACCGGCTGAATCAGAAGTTCCAGCGGTGCCAGGTAATATGTCTAAGTCCCTTGAATTGTTATGGGACTTCAACTGACGCTCTTCCTGGTGTTGAATCTGCAGGTGGACATTACGAGGGTGGCCAGCCAGGTGCAGGTCACCATCTAAGTCATCCGCTCGCGCTACGTCGACTGCGGCCAGCTCTTCGACACGGCCAACAGCAAGCATCTGCACGCCTTCTTGATGAAGCACGCGCCAGAGAGTCAGGTAATTGTCGAAGGCCAAGCTAAGGACGGCACGCCGATCCGCCACGTCTACACCCTACACACGAAGAAGATCTCGGGCCACGTGTACAAGAGCGACAAGGCAAGCTGCACCGAGCTCTGCTGAGCCATGGCAGAAGCGACGATGGAGTCCCTGGAGAAGCGCCTCTCCGATCTGCAACAGCTTGGCAGTACAAAGCTCTTCCTATCCAGCGTCTACCCCATGGGCAAGGCGGACGACGAGCGCAAGAGCCAGGAATGGCTTGGTTCCATCAAGAAGCAGTTCCATGATAAGCCTCTGCCAGGTAAGTTCGCATTCCGTCATCTGTATACTCTTGCAATGCTTCCCCCCTTAGGGATGCTGCGTGCCTATGCACATTTTACTTTCAGCACGACTAATTCGCCTCTTATATATTTATGGTTTCCCCCCCACAGGAGTAAGCTAGAAGAAAGCGAGGCTGGAGCTCTCTTCCTTCTACAATATCATGCAATGGCATCACGGCGACATGTTCTTCCACAGCAGCCTTAGCCACATGCTCGCCACCAAGGACTGGGAGACGGCGTACCCGAACATCGTGAAGATTTGGATCTCCACAGCCGTGCTGCTGCTCAGCACGGTGGAGTGCGAGCAAGGATTTAGCAGACAGGACGTCAAGAAGAGCTAGGCCCGAGGTAACCTGTGCGACGCGCGACTCTCTGACCTTATGTGTGTCTCCCTCCTCCATCAGTACGACATGAAGTGGGAGGAGATTGTCCAGATCTGGCGCGCCTCCAAGCAGAGGCGCCCCTGCCAGGATGTTGTGGCGCCAACACCAGTGGCAGCCATGAGCAAGAAGAAGAAAGAGGCCCTAAGGAGTAAGCGGAGGAACATTGCTGCCCTGGAGGCGGAGATTCGGTGCTGGAAGGGGAAGGCTGTGGAGGAGGAGGAGGAGGAGGAGGAGGAGCAGCAGCAGCAGCAGCAGCAGGAGGCGTAGCAGGGGAGGGAGGAGGAGGAGGAGGAGGAGGAGGAGGAGGAGGAGGAGGAGGAGGAGGAGGAGGAGGAGGAGGAGGAGGAGGAGGAGGAGGAGGAGGAGGAGGAGGAGGAGGGGGAAGGAGAGGAGGGGGAGGAGAGGAGGGGGAGGAGAGGAGGGGGAGGAGGAGGGGGGAGGAGAGGAGGGGGAGGAGGAGGAGGGGAAGGAGAGGAGGGGGGAGGAGAGGAGGGGGAGGAGGAGGAGGAGGTAGAGAAGGGCGAGGTGCAGCGAGATGCTGTCCTATATGACTATGACAATGATGAGGATTATGATTTCATCTAACTAACAATTTCTAATGCAAGCTGCCTTTTCCAGACAAATCTGTTGGAACGTTTTGAATTTGTCTTAAACTTTCAGACATACTTTCTCATTCTGCTTGAGAATCAGACAACACTAAAAAATTTCAGACAAAATACTGTAACAACGTCTGATGGGAGAGATAAGGAATTTTTGAAAAGAGGACCCTGGCTGTCAAGCGGTCGTCCTGATGGTGCGCAACCAGCAATTGCGACCCTGAAGCTGAACGGTCGCGAAGCGCAACTATAAACGGGTGAACTAAACGCCACGCAATGCAACTGTTATACAGTTGAGCTGTGACGTTTCACTCCCTTACGCAGAACTATTTGAATAATTGTATTGCATCTTTCTAATAAAGTATTCCCCCGGATATGCGCCCCTAGGGGCGTGTAAGGTAAATAAGAATCTCATGGGATGTGGCTAATAATCAAACAAAACAAATAAGCTCTGGGGCTAGTTGTACGTATGTATAGGAACATATTTAAAAAATATGAGAGTGTTCCTCCATCTACCATCTATCGAGTTTTGGTCAAAACGGTTGTTGTTCTGTTGAAGATTCCTGACAAGTTGTCTCCCGAAGATATTGCCACGGTTGCACATTCAACGAGCCAATGAAAATCCTGCTCGACATGTGCAGGAAGCCTCCCTCTTTGTCCGGGCGTATTTCTACAATTCATATCCGATTCAGCCTCGCTCGCATCGGATTGGTGACAAAGCGAGCCGCGCCGCAATGAATTACAGGGGGTATGCTCTATTCTCCAAATCCGCGACTCGCAAATATGGACTACAACGAATAAGAGCGGTTCACTACGGGCAAAATGGATTATCGAGTAGCACGTACGGTTTTAGGTGGGGTGGCGTAGGCCGTTTTACTCTTTCTGTTCACGATGGGTGCCTTGGCGTATTGGCCCTTGGGCCAGGTTACCAGCGAATTCGCCGCGTGTCATTTGAGGGCTCATGTGGCTTCTTAAAAAATGTTCAGCAAATTTGTCGTCTGGTCAGAATTACCGCGGACAATAGAAGTAACACCTCGTTCTCGACCTTCCGCAAGCAGCGCAGGCTCAAAACGCGCAAATCATATAATTTGAAAAACCCTTTTCGTGGTCTCACGAAAAGGGCTTAACGTAACGAAATTATGACGACTCGCCTGAGCGGTTTCGTTAACCAATCACACACTTTCACGAAGGTGAAAAAAAACCATTTAAGAAAAACATTTTCGAAATGTGCATTGGTTAATGGTGATTGGGGGACCATGGGTCGTGTTTTCGTATTCAGGACAGACCTGTTGGTGTCACGCGGAAAGCCTGAATATTTACGTCATTGGTTATAAAATATGGAAAACGCCTCGAATGTTCTTGACACGAGGATTAGAATAGGACCGAAATAATAAGACAGAATGGATGAAAAGGGGGTACGGATTCATGCCCAGGTCAGCGCGCATACAAAAGTGCCAGGTGGACGGGGGTACCAGCTGGCTGTCGCCCCTCGGTCCGTCGTGATTATGTCTGATCGCCCTGGCAAGCGCGTATTGGCTGGGCAATTCCAAGCACAGTTCACGAGAAATTTCCGAGCTCGCACTCGCGGGTTGGTTGGCGACACTCGCATGCTGGGATCGCACCCAATTTGGGTGGCGCGACTCGATGGTCGGTGGCATTATGCGACTGTTGTGATTGGTCACAATGTTTTATTGCGTTTTTTTAGTGAAGTCAACAGTAGATGTATACCGTACGGACGGAGTACATCGTGGCCGATCTTATCGAATTCCGGACCTTGGAGTATTATATGGAGTAAAATGTCATGGACCTAATGGCATACTCGCTGTATGAAAACGAATGAGTTCACCGCGCAGGACTGCAGTAGTCTGACGCAACGTTTCGTGACGCGAGGTTGTAGGCATATGTACACACGGGGCAGAAACTAGGTGCGATGAACTGTCAAGTGCAAATTTTCGCGGAATGTGGGAAAACGTCCTCGGCAAAAGCTATGAATCCTTTTTCAATATAAATTGCCTTACACTTCTACATTCCGAGGGGTTTAAATGACGATGTGCTCTTCAAACGGGGAGGGGCTAATAATAAGATAATGCACATAAGTACAAAAGCAGAAGCTGAATAAAGGACCCTGGGCCCTATCCCTTGGGGGGGCCCCTATCCGGGTGGATACGGTACACAATTCTCATGCTTGTGTCCAGCTAACCCGGTTCAAGGCCTCACCTTGGGACGTCTCCATGTTGCAAGCACCACATCCTAATGTTAGGCCAGAGATGCCAACTCTCTTCTAGCAAGCCACTGTCTTGGTTGGCGTATGACCGCCCTCTCGTAGCTGCTACCTCTTAGTGTCTACTCCACTTGGCAGGATTGTATTTAACCCGTCTTACCAAGTATTCCACTGTGCAACTCCATATTTTCCAATAGTTGTACTCTACCCTTCAAGTTTGGGCACCGGCTTCTACCGACACAACTTTCACTAAGAAGCGTACACCTTGGGTTCACCTCACAGTACGTGAAGAGTACATGCAACAGTACGTGTAAAAAACGTGAAATTTCCCTACTGGCTCTTTTCTTCCTCCTCGCCGAAGATTTTGTGAGGTGGAAATACCACTGGCCTCTAGAGAAACTTGTTTTTTATGGCAAAATATGTAGGTCCTGGAGGCTGCTCTCGTCTCCTATTGGACACGCCCAAGTTTTATTATATTTCTGATACAATCATTTGAACAGTGCCCTTTGACATCAAGCCTATGCTAAAACGAACGCTTACAACATGCCCTTATGGCATGCACCGTAAGTGATGGCATGCGGCACTGCTGAACCACGTCTGATGATAGAGACAGTACTGGTGCAGGCGAAGAAATATGAAGTGGTTCTAAGGGAAGCGATGTTGGGTGCACTCACGGCGACTTGAACGAGCGGCGGTGGCAGTGGACCCGCAATGACTCCTAAGGGGGAAGACGTGGCACCAGAAGAGGGTGTGGCATGAGTCAAGTGGCTGGCAGCGGTTGCATGGGAATGGCCGCAGGCGGGTGGCTGCTGGCGAGCAGCGGCAGATGAATGGTGGCGCGGCAAGCTTGCGGCTAGTGAAGGTGGGCGGAGAGCTGGCAAGCATGCAAAGGCGAGCGACAAGTGGCGAGCTGGCGAGTAGGCAAAGGGCTGGGTGCCGCGAGTATGCAGAGGCATGCACGCAAAAGCAAGCGGTGAGCGGCGGGACGGCGAGCACACGAAGGTGAGCAGGCAAAAGAGGGTGGCTTAGCAAGCAGCGTGCTGCCTATTAGGTGAAGGTGAGCAGCAAAGGCGAATGGCGAGCTGGTGAGCAAGTGAAGGCAAGCAGCTGAAGGCGATTGGCTGGCGCCGAACAGGTGCTGGCAGTGAGTTGCGCGCTGGCGAGTAGACAAAGGTACGCATGCAAAGGCAAGCGGCATGCTGGCAAGCAGGCAAATGCGAGCAGGCGAAGAGGGATGGCTGCCAGCGAGTGGGGCGAGAAGGCAAAGGCGAACGAGCTAGGGTTCAGGCTTACATAGGGTACAACTGTTTGATATACCCAACTGTCATTGCCTTGCATAGTCACTTTCTCTCGATGTGGTATAGAGCTATGTGCTCCTAGCCGCCATGCTCTCCACTATCCTCCCACCCTAGCTTACCTCCTTAGTCTTAGCTATAACCTTTTCCCCCCCTGCCTGCGCCCTAGCCTTAGCACTCCTCCTAGGCCGCCGCCCTGCCGTCGCGCTGCCTGCGTTTTCCCTGCTGGCCACCGCCAGCTCGCCACCGCAAGCAGCGCCTTTGTCGCTGCCTGCGCGCCACCCGTTGCCCCCCGCCAGCAGCTCGCTCGCAGCGCGCAGCCGCCAACTTGCTCGTTCGCTCACTGCCAACTCGCTGCCAGCAGCCACCGCCAGCTCACCTCAGCCAGCAGCTCGCTAGCTGCCAGCTGCCGCCAGCCACTCGCTTGCAGCGCGCCGGTGCCCGCTCACTGCTGGCAGCCGCCCTCTTCCCTCTCCCTACTGCTCCCTTGCTGCCAGCTCACCGCTAGTGGCACGCTGCTCGCTCGCCGCCAGCAGCATCTGCGCACTCACCGCCAGCCAGCTGCTGCCAGCCAGCTCGACGCCAGCCCGTCAGCCGCCAGCTCGCTCGCCGCCAGCTCACTGCTGCCAGCCAGCCACCCACCAGCCGCAGCTGCCCGCTCGCCAGCGCGTGCGCTCGCCTCCAACCAGCTTGCCGCCAGCTAGCTGCTGCCAGCCAGCTAGCTGCCAGCGTGCCAACTGCCAGCTAACTCGCCGCCAGCACACTGCCACCAGCCAGCTCGCCACCAGCAGCCACAGCCCGCTCACCAGCTGGCCCGCCAGCCGGCCAGCCAGCCACCGCCAGCCAGCTAGCCGCCAGCTGCCAGCTCGCCGCCAGCAGGCCGCCAGCTCACTAGCCGCCAGCCGGCAGCACCTGCCAGCTCGCTGCCAGCAGCACTTGCCAGCTAGCCGCCAGCAGTGCCTGCCAGCTTTTCGCCAGCAGCGCCTGCCTGCTCGCTGCCAGCAGCACCTGCCAGCTCACTGTCAGCAGCACCTGCCAGCTCGCCACCAGTGGCACCTGCCGCCAGCTGCCAGCTTGCCACTAGCTCACTACCGCCAGCCAGCCGCCAGCCAGCAACCAGCCAGCCGCCAGCCCACCGCCAGCCAACAGCCAGCCAGCCACCAGCCAGCCACCAGCCAGCCACTAGCCAGCAGCCATCCAGCCACCAGCCAGCTAGCCGCCAGCTGCCAGCCAGCAGCCAGCCGCCAGCCAGCCAGCTAGCCACCAGCCAGCCGCCCTTCTGCTAACCCACCTGAACGCCATTGGGGTGGATCTCCAGCGAGGCTCTGGCATCAGCACTGACGGGGCGGCTGTCATGATGGGGACAAAGAGTGGGCTCGTCACTCGACTTCGCCCACAAGTGCCACAACTCGTGTCACGTCATTGCCTTGCGCACAGGTAATGTCTGCTGCCATGTTTCAC